CAAATGCATAAAGCGCAGCATAATTTAAAATCACGAGTTTAAAGTTTGTCGATTGCGCGTCTCCAGTGAAGCTGAACTCCCCACCTTCTCCAAGTTTGCAAGGTTTTTGAAATTAGATGTTTATTAGACATTCAAAAATTTCCCGCCTCGAACGCATCGGCCAAACAGGAAAGCTTATCGGCCGATATTTAAAAAATGCCAAATATCATCCGAGGCGATATATTGGTCGACCACTAGTATGCAGTACTGATCTAGTGCATAAGAGGACACTTACTTTTCCCTGTCAGTCTTGTAAATGCGGGCGATCTCAGGTACTAAGGGGTCGTCCGGATTGGGGTCACACAGCAGAGAGCAGATGGACAGGAGAACTGAAGGGCAAGATAAAAAAATACAAGTAATATATAAATTTCAACTTAAAAAAAATATATATATCCTTGTTTAAACAGCTGTCATCTTACACAAGGACACTCATTTCTTATTGAATATATTATAATACACCAAAAATCTGTTATAAGCAGCTCAAATACAAATGAATAAACATGTAACCAATGTAGTCAGAAATTACACTCCAAAACACTAAAATGCCCTTAACAGAACCACTAAACATGTGAATAACAGCAAATTAATCAGATTCAGCTCAAGCATGCATTTACATTGACGCTGTAGTAAATCAGAAAATATTCTCAAATATCACTTTCTCCAGCTTTTATTTTGTTTTATGTTATTGAGTTTAAAAATAAAGAATGAGATTATTAGAAACAATTCTTATTATTAGAAACTATTCATATGCAAACAAATGTAATGTCATGCAGCAAATGTAATGTCAATGAGAAACCAGAAGCTCTTTACACTACTTTGATGTAAAAGCATGACATATTTCAATTTGTGTTTGAGTTTATCGCCATTAATGTTTCAAAGACAATTTCATGGCACATACAGATAATCAAACATTCAATTATACAGATATTCAAACATTCAATCAAATGATAATTATATATAATTTAAGGTCAGACAATTCTTCACGACAACTTTACAAAAGATTCTTTAGTTGAACTTTGAACAAATTTCCATACAAAACAGAATTCTGGGTACTACATTATTTAAAGCAGTTCTCACAGCACTTGAGCATTTAAACATCACAAGTTAGCTTTTACTTTTTTTCTTTTTTTCTCTCTACACGCTAAATTTTGTGGGTAACCCAATAAAATCCTAATAAAAACCCATACATGCTACACCATGGGAACATATAGACTGAAGCTAAGGGTGTATTCACACCAGGAAAGTCCGCTAGTTCACTTGCTTTGGTCCGGACCAAATACAAAGTGGATTTTTTTAGTTTGGTGCAGTTCACTTTCACACTGCCCTTTTTGCAAGTGAACCAGAAATTCTAAACAAAACCACACGTGTGCTAAGGTCATCCATTCATTGGACAGAAATTCTCAAGCAGGGAAAAACAGGAAGTGCAAAAACAGGCTAATCGTGAAGATCTTTCATAGTGCAATTTTTATTCTTTTACTGATTTGGTGTTATCAGATACTAACGCAATATGAAGAAACTTATGAGCATCATATGAGACAATG